TCTTCTATTTCACCCGGGTCAGATTGCCATGTGCCAGAGCGCACATGCAGGGGCAAGCCTGGGACAAGATGCTGTGGCACAAATGTGTCGCTGCTTTTTGTGCAGGGGGAAATGCGTGCCCCTGCATATGCACGCTTGTTTGGATGCACGCTATGAGAGTTATTTTTAGTTTAGAGGCTTCCAGGCCCCAGCTAGCATGGCAGACTGATGGAAGAACAAGTTAAATGATGACATCACTGCAGGATGAACAATTGAGAGGGAAAGGGATCTTTGATCAGATTTTAATTTCAACATCTAATTTACATTTTGGAAAAAGTGTGAGTCCATTAAGCTTTCAGCAGCCCCACCACTTCAATGAAAGTAGAAGCTCTTATAAAATACACATTCTGAGATTGCTAGCAGATCTTCCACTAAAGTCCTCATCCTTTCAGAAAAGAGGGAATTGATCATTTTCATATTTTTTAAAAAATAAAATAACCCTGCACAGTCAAGAAAACAAACCTCAAAATAAGCACAGCTTTCTCAGCGTTTTTAATACATCATAAAGAAGCAGAGGAGAGATCAAATCTTCTTTTTAAAAAAACAAAACCTTTGCAGGCCTCTTTTAAAATGCAATAGTTTCCTTTTAACTTCCTGGGGGGACACACTACTTTTAAAAAATGCTCACTTTTTTGGAACTGAAAGTTTCCCATACTTCTTCACTCTTCAGAGATGGTTAGCGGGGTTATAAGTATGTGTAAAACAAAACAGCCCTCCTCATCGCCACTGACATACCTTCCTTTTGAGCTATTTGTGAGTAAGGAGACGAGGTAGAAAAATACAGTTTATAAGTTGGTAAATTCTGGTGTTACCTTTTGATCAAGAAAGGCAGAAATTGAGAAAGTTGAAATTTGATGTGAAGATAAATCTCCCTTAGGGTTTATAAAATTATTTTGATTTGAGGGGAAAAGGGCTTGATTGTTGAAGTTAAGACATTTGAAAATTGTTCCTGAGTATGCTGGGCATGCTCCATCACCAAGTCTTTATAAAATGTAACTTGACCTGTGCTCCTTGTCTCCCTCACTTAAAGGTACAAATGTCTAAGTAGCGCCTCCCCTGAGCAAGCCCAGCAAACCACATTTAGTGTCTGTAGGATGAGTCATTTGGGAGCTGAGCTAAGCTGCAAAGTTAAGAAAAATTTCAGAAAAGTCAGCAGCAGGTTGCTGTTATCACTAACTATAATTCTAACAATTATAGCAATAATAATTGCATTGCTCCAAGTGAGACTTTCAGAAGTGTTCATTGTTGGCCTTACTTTGATCTATTGAAGTTGATGGTAAAAGTAGAAATTGTAAATCTAATCCAATAACTTTAAAATTCCTTGTTATTATTTTACCCCAGGCTTCCCAGAAGTGTGTGTTAGAAAGTTTTTTCATTAAATGGAAGAAACAATATTCAACCCTCTGGATCCCCTTTTATTATTGTCTTGTGCTAACTCATTTTTTGTATTCTTTTCCTTTATATATTCAGATTGGGTTCTCACTGATATTTCACATGCTTCCAAGAAATGTAGAATTGGGAAGTGACCCCCTAGACCAGGGGGGCTCAACCTCTGGTCTGCTGACTAGATGTGGCCTATGCTACCATGTTATCCATCCAGTGGAGCTCTCTGTGGGTCCAGAAATTTGGTGGCTGGGGAGCAGTGGCACTGCTGTCCTGCTGCTAAATTTCTTTACCCATGAGGAGCCTCAGGCCCTGTGCGCCAGATGGGGTGGTGCCAGGGCCCAATTGCTCTGTAGGGGGATGGGAGGGGGGCAGCACTGACCCAATCCTGGCATGTGAGGGCAGGAGGGGGTGGCACCGGGCCCTTGTGGCTCAGTCCTCATGGCGTTGTGGGGGGCATTGGGCACCAGGCCCATGGGACCTGATTCCAGTGTGTGGGTCAGGGAGGGGTCAACACTGGGCACCAGGGCCCAATCCAGCCCATAGACCGGCTTCACACCACTCCTCATCTGGCGTGTGAAGCCAAAGGGCTGAGCACCATTTACTTAGGCTATCAAATCCAGTTCCCTGTAACAGACATTGAGACCAAAATGTAAAGCAACCAACCTTTATGTAGAAAAATCTGGGACATAGTTCAGGGTGCTCTAGAAGCCTTTGGGACTTGAAGCGGTCTACACATCCAGCTCTGGTTCATGTTGCCACCTTAGTACAGACCTGTGAACAGGCTTATTAGCTTTTTGTTTTGTTTTGTTTTGTTTTGAGTTTTTTTTTGAAAGGCAGAGCTAACTAACCTGGGCTCAGCACCACAAGAATGAGCTTGCTCCTGAGGGGAGCTGTGTTAACTGGTTTATGATTAGACCCATCTGGGGCTCTGTCGCTCAGCAGATGTGACAGAGTGTTGCTGAGTGCTGTGGGAACCTTTTGGGGTTGGGGGACTGGCTGATTCAGGGCCAATCTTTCAAATTCAAAATAGAAATCCTATTTCAGGATTTTCTTTCTGGATGCTAGGACACAGCCCTGACATTCGGACCTATCCTTGAACATTCAGGGTGACTGGTCACTTTCCCAAATGGATACACACATTCACTCCATCTCTTCTGACAGCCACATTTTTCTTTTTCTCCTGCTTAATATTCCTGAACATATGGAGGATTGTTGGCCCAAAATTTCTTGTTGGGGGACCTTGAAGGGTGGGGAGGAATGGGCAATAGCATGCATCAACCCATGTGTGCATGGTAGTCAGCCACCTGACTACCAATGTCATTGTCTCTGGGATCCAGTGTGTCCTTTTGAAGTTCTTTGACATCAAGGGGTAGAAAGTGGTATGTGAGCAGTAGAACCTTGTGGACTAGAGATCTGATGCTGGGTTGGGGCGCTGTGTACTGGATTATAATTATGGATTCTTACTCTTTGTGGACAAGTCTACCAAGGTTTCTAAAAACCAGAACAAAGTACAGTTTTCAGTGAAATTGGCAGGAGCACAAGATAGTCCCAGAAAACAGGGATGTTTTGTTTTCAGGGACCAATACTCACCCCAACTAAAAATAAAACGCATGCTGCTGCTGTCAAAATATCTAATCCAAAATGCACAAAGAGAGACCACCAGCAGAAATGGGAAAGAATTATTGGAGTCAAAGGAAGCTCTTTTTTTTGTGTGTGTGGAGCTAAAGCAGTATTTGCCAAGGGATAATTCTCAGTTTTACTAGCTATACAGTGGCAGCTCTAGCACCTTTTTAAAAAGCTGTTATTATTTATGGAGTTGTCTATCTCATATCTGTGCCTTCTCTTACCGTATTTGCTTACTTCATTTTAGGAGTCTGCCTCCATTCAGTCTTTTTATCAAGTGTCTTAGCTATTTTGTAAACCTGTGAATGAAAGCCTAAAATAAGGATAGAAATAAAAATATTTTACTGTTTGCTCAAAGGCAAATTTTATCTACCTGTGTCTGCCTGACTTTGTTCTGCGGAATTGGGTTTTAACAGCTTTAGAGCATTGTCTCTTGTCTCTCTGCAGGGATTGTTTATCATTTGAAGGATTCTCCCATTTATTGCAGTTCATAGAAGATTTGGTGGAGAAAGCAGGCCCTGAATACATGACACTGTACCAAAGTGGAACCATAAGTGCCTCAAAAATGAAGCAGCTAATAAGGTTAATGTAACTTTCAGTTCAGCTTGACCATTAAAAATTTAATGTACAAAGTAGAAATTAGAGAAGGGTATTGTATATCTTATTTTCAGATCTTTTCTTCTATATTTGCTTGCTTGGTTTATGTCCTCTCATTATAAGGTCCATGAATAAACATTTCTTTATGGTATAACTATGTTATGTTGATTAACTACAAAGTTTGGATTTGGTTTGAGTGAGTAATGACTGGAATTTTACCCCTGACAACAGAACTGTTATCTTTTGAGATAGGAGCTGGTTGTCTTTACCCTCTGGGTGCCAAGGGGTAGAGGCCGAGACAGAGGCTCTCTACATTTTACAGGTATTGCTCAATTATCTGGAGACCAGCTACATGTGCAAAGTAGCTATCACATGATAAAAAGGTTCAAGCAGCTATTAAGTTAGATCTCAAAAATGTGTACTAACTTTTTATAGCTTGTTGCTATGAAGCTTTAATTTATACATGTAGCAGGGCCTCCCCTGCAGCTGGGAGCTCCATCAGCTGACAGGGCTTCCAGCCACAGTGCCCAGCCTGAAACCCCCAAGCTCTGTGGATTGCAGCTTCCATGATCCCCAAGACTTGGGGATGCATGAAACCCCTGGCCCACATTGGGCTCTGGGTCCTGGATGTATCTTGCAGACAGCTGGGACCGAGTCCCGCAGCTCACATGAGGTGCAGCCGGGACTGAGAGATCCTGTAACTGATGTGTGAGGTTCAGCCAGGACTCGGAGCCCCTGTCAGGTGATGGGACTCTTGGTCCCATCTGCATGTGGCCCCTCATGGCTGGGAGCCCCTTCAGCAAACAGAGCTCTCAGCTGTGGGTGCCTGCTTCTTGCCAGTGCAGGGGGAGCCCTGCACATGTGGCACAGCAGGGGGCATGATTGTGTGGATCATGCATTAGATCCAATCCCACCTTTACCTGCATGTGTAGAGTGGGCTAGAGAGACCTCTCCCCAAAAACAGCTCTATGTGTCTGTACTAACAGTGAACTTCTGATGCGCTGGTGTTAACAGACACCGTATGACTAAAGTATGTCTTCAGGAGCTGTAGACTTTAATTAATTCAGGAAAGATATCATTGTTTGTATAGTCTGTTCCATGAGCAAACTGGGTTAACCAAACGCATCTTTCCTTCTGAAAGTGGACAGTGATTCTGATGCTAATATGGGGAAATGGCACCAAGAACGTTAAAGGAATTCCTCCTTTTGTTGCCAGCAGAAAAGTGCACTAAAGGCCAAATGGTAACAAAGATTATATCTAAACAGTGGGGTCACATTATCTTGTTCCTGCCTGAAACTTGCCATTCAGCGCTCTGCTCTACTCTCCTTAGTCATAGAAGCACTGGGGTGAAAGTTCTTGTTACTTTTATTTTACTAACGGTTGGCTTAATTAATTAAATGCTGCTATGCAAAAGAAATTGTGTATGTGTGTATATGTATATGTTACGGCTTTCTTTTAGGGAGTCCTGAGAAGGGTTTCCAAATTAATTCAGAATGCTTTGCTTGGACAGTGCACACCATCAGAAATTTGCTTTCATGGTGGCATTTCCCCTAACCTGCAAACCAAGACCATGAGTTTGTCTTATTTCTGCAAACACTTGTGTACATGCTAAATGTTTATGCTTGGGAGCAATTCCAGTGACTTCACTGGGATTAATCATTACAGGGATCCTGGTTTTCTGTGTTTAAAAATCCAAAATTCTCTGATACAAATCCAGCATTTTTTTCCATGATTAAAATTAAACACTACTATGCATGTATGTATGTATTAGTTGAACACCATGTTTTACTGAGATGCTTTAACATTTTTAAAGCAATTTGGAAGCCTACAAATGTCTCAATCATTAAAGTAAAATACATTCTAAATACCTGTGTATTTTGGTGTTTGATTTTGGCTTTTTTATCATGGAAAAATCAGATAAATTTGCCCCTCTTCACTCACCAGGATGTGGGTTCGGCTGTGCCTGTTCTCCTCCTCCCTCCCTCCCCCCCACTTTGTGGTGCTGAGCAGCCCTCATATGCTGTTGCCCCTCATTCCCGACCTGCATCCTCGCATCCTCCCCAGTCCTGCTGTTGCCCCTCACTCCTGACCTGCTGCCCCCTGCCTCCAGGCCTCAGCCCCCCATTGTGTGGGGAAGGGGGTGGGTGTATGGGGTGGAGGTAGGGCGGCCATCATAGAGGACATTCCGGTTTTCTGCTACCCTGTCCTTTATTGATACAAAACCCAGTGCCAATGCCTTTATGTCCTGTATTTTTCTCTTGAAGAGAAAAATAGAGGATATAAAGGTGTCTAGTTTTGTATCAGTAGAGGACAGAAGACAACCAGTCTGTTCTCTATGATGGCCACCCTAGGTTGGGGGGGGTGCCCAACCATAGGCAACGCCATAGGTGGCATATAAGGGCGTCATGGGACATGCCTGTCACGTGGCACGCCTGCCTATGATTGCCATCTTCCCGCTCCCCCCAACTCCAGGCAGCCCCTTGCAGGCTGAAACTCTGCCAACCTGCAAGGGGAAATCCATGGTTACCTGCATTTTTCTCCTTTTATAGGAGAAAAATCTAGGTTTTCCGTTGCAAACAGAAAACCCAGATCCCTGCTCATTAATCAGTTGTGTGTTTGTATGGTGCTTACTACAACTTGGATGATGACATCTGCACTGTTTCAGTTTTAGTTCCATCCAGCTTGCAGTGGTCCACAGCTTTAAAGCCATTGTCTCCCAAGTCAAATTAATTCAAATGTTATCTCCAAAAGTAGGTGTTGCAAATGTTGCATAAAGGTGTTGGTGGACAAAAATGATTTACACCGTCTAATCTTTTTATACCGTGTTATAACATTTTTGCTTTTTTAAAACCAATTGAAAGGATGGTTTAGCTCAACTAGTGTTTTATTTCTTTCACTGAAAGTATTTTTTTTGCTGGCGTGACAGCATCCACCTCATTAGGCAGTTCACGTTAAATTTATTTGTAGATTTTATTTAAAAAAACCGTTTTTTTTCAAAATGCACTGCTCTGTTTAATATCTTTGTGGAACAACATTGTCATGGCTGTATTTTGTACCTAGATTATATTACTAATTATTCCATAAACCATGAGAACTATTACAGATTCTATATCTATGCCTGTTTTAGTTGTCTGTGTGGGCTTACATAAACATTTCAAGTAGCACCTGTTTTGTTTTATTTTATAGCTTTTGTAATCAAACTGAAAATGTGAAAAAAGAAGACCTTGAGGCATGTGAAGCAGTTGTCCTTCATCAGCTTCAAAGATTGCTACAAAGCACATTCAATGGATGTCTCTTACCTGAGAAAACACTTAACGACAGAGGTAGAATTATGGATGAAAAGCAAGCCAGGTACCAAACACAAAACTATGTGATAATATGATTAACATTCTTACTTGACTTGTCCAAAATTATTTCTAAAGGTTTATAAAAAGAAAGCAGAATAACAGTTAAACCTACAGTTCATATTAAAATTAAAGAATTCCAAGGGGTGACCTTCGCATATTTCAGTGCCTACCATCTGATTTAATGGCTCCAAAAGATTAAACTGAGCATATATGTATAAACTAACCTGTAAAATGTGTGTGTAAAATACACTCAATTGAATTCTCTCTCTATCATTTAAATCAAGTATATGTGTGTAATATATATATATTACACACATACATGCATATACTTTTAGTGAGAAGAGCTCACTTGAAACTTGTGTGTGTGTGTGTGTGTGTGTGTGTGTGTGTGTATACACACATACATATGTATGTATGTTTGTTTGTTTATTTGTTTTACTGGTCTGTTTTTAAGTGAGCTTTTCTCACCAAAAGTTGATTAACCTATTTCCTTTTGTACATGTTATATGTAGACCCTTTTCATATAAAACTAAATTTTGTGTTGATTTAGTTTATTGTCTTTCATTTGTGTAAATAGAGAACATGGGGCTAAGACCCCTTACCACTTCTAAATGTATTATTAAAAGATTGTGCCTCCTCACTTAGTCATACTATATTTATTATACTGTGTGCCTGCACAAACCAGAAAGGTACGTGGAATGTCTTTCAACAGGGAAGAAAGTGCTTATTGTGTTGCCTAGTCATTTAGTGTAGGTTGTCTGCTAGGCAGAAGACTTGCACTCTGTTCCGAGTGTGCCTCTCTGGGCTGTGAGATGCTTGTGTTTCAGCAGTAACCACTTCTGTTCATTCAGGAATAGCACAGCTTACTGAGGGCATCCCATCATGTTATTTTTATTGTTTCAAAGGTGAGTGATTGCAAATCAGAATTACAAGGATCTGAAGGTGGACTGGTTGAAACAGTGCTTTTAGCCATATTTAGCCCACAGGCCATATGTTTGACACCCCTGGACTAGACCACTAAATGTGATTGAAATTTGTAACTTGAATTGGTCATATCCTTCAGTATTTTTTGTCACTGAAGAACATGACCAATTCACACTGTTTTTGCTCGATTTTTAAAAAAAAAAAATTCTTTGAAGTGTAATAGGATTTTGATCAAGTCTAAGCTTTATACTCCATGGCCATGTCTCCATGAATACACACATGCAGTTTGCAACACCACAGATTTGTCTGTGGCACCGTGAACCACATGTGCTACACATGAAGGCATTCGCTGTGTTGCTAATTTGCAGCGTGGTGGGGTTTTTGTGACACCAGGTGATCCCTGTGTCAGAAAAACCCGTGCTAGAAGATAGTGTAGCGGCGCAAGTAGTGGCAGCGTGCGCCACCCAAAACCAGAGCCTGGCTGGCCAGAGCTGCACTCTGGCTGCCAGCTAGGCTCCACACACCTAGGTCACTGCTGTTGGAGCCTTGGGAGGCCCCCCCAGGAATGGCTGCTGGGGCCAGTCTAGGGGCTGCCCCAGCCTCTCCTACCCCACCCGGGACAACCTGCCATGTGCCAGAGCACACATGCAGGGGTGTTCCCAGGGGACAACTAGCAAGCGGCACAAATACATGCTGTTGCTCTTTGTCCTCTTTGTTCCTGCTTGTTGGGAAGTGCCCAGTGTGCACATTTGTGATGTTAGGCAAAGGTTACAAATACATACTTGCAGATAGCCTCATTGCTCATGTGCATGCTGCTCAGTTTGTATCCACTTGAAAACAGATTAACTGGAGAGCAGGTGGGCTGCTTTGCTTCTTAACAATTTACTTCTTGACTAGCCTTGAGACTCTTATTTGTCTCTCTCCTCACCCCCCCGCCCCCACAACTCATGCCTTTACCAGCTCATTAAAAAACATTTGTTCGCAAAAGTAAGACTTCATATTCAGACACTGAGTTCTCAAAAATATGCTTGGTCTTTGGTCCTGGGTTCTAAGCTTCGCCCTCAGTACTGTTTTATGCATTTTAAATTACAGTCATTGGTTAAAAAACTGAAATGACCAGTATGCCATAGTTGTGCTCCTTTTTTTAGTTCTCCTTTGTGCTCCACGAGTCTTGTACGCTTGTCTGCTTCAGTGGCTTAGCTTTAGCAGGAGTGATGTGGCAGATATACCCACCCACGCAATGTATAGCCTTCTGGTTAGGGCCCTTTCTTGAGAAGTGGAAGGTGTGAGGCCAGATCCCCTGAGGCTGAGGAGGGTCTATATTTCATACCTCCATGTTACTGGGTGAGTACTTACTGACTAGGCTGGAGGTTGTCATTGAATTCAGCCTCGAGATGGGGAGAGAGTCTTCTCCTGTGCTGTGGCAGGGACAGCAGCGGCAGTGGCTGCTTCCCCTGAGCCACAGTGAGGAGAAGCAGTGGTGACCAGGTTCTAGTAACTGCCTGCCAGCCAGCCTCTGACCTGAGCTGGGTCATTCCAACCCACAGCCTCCAAAAAGGTTGCCAGCTGCGGGGCACCAGCCTGTTGGCTATAAAGTGGGCACTACCACTGCCCTAGAGTTGAAATCAGTGTGCTTGATGTGAGTTAGACAGATGTGCGGGTGGGGTTTCTTGCTTACTTTTAGGGCCTCGTCAGAACTGTAGGTGGAGCTTGTGCACCTCCAGTGAGCACTGTGAATCAGAAAAGAGCCTAGGTGTGGAAATGTCTTCTCCTATTTGTATTTTGCCATGTGTGCAGGCTTGAATGTAGGCACATCAGGAGCTCTGAGTTCCAAAATTGAATGGTGTGATAAGCTGTGTGTGCTGGCAAGGACACTTGGAATGTCTTCAAGACTTAAGTAGTTAATGTGTGTTGAAGTTGCCTTTATGCACTTAATGAAACACTTAGAACATGGCACAAGAATGACCAATCTCATTTCCTTCTACGACCAGGTGACCTATCACCTGGACAAGGGAGAAGAGATTGATGTCATATATCTTGACTTCAAAAAAGCCTTCGATCTGGTTTCCCATGATCACCTCTTGGAGAAACTGGCCAATTGTCGCCTTGGGTCCTCCACGATCCACTGGCTGGAAAATTGGCTCCGGGGTCGGACCCAGAGGGTAGTAAT